CATCCTCTATCTTGTTTCAGAGAGAAGCTTTTACTCTTTTAGAGACGTCCCTCTGGAAGATAAAGAGTAACATGTGGAGAGGAGACGAGCCTTGAAAGCTTGTACGTGCATATGAAGTCACTTTAAATGACATAAAGGACTGCTGGCTGCACACTGTAAAATAAGTTTATAGCTGGACAAGGCTTGGACATAGGAAACATAGATTGGAAGACAAATGATCTCTTAATGGCAGCTGAATTTCTTCTGAGTTTCAACAAAACATACTGTATCTAGTTCAGATTCATATACAGTACAATCAAATTATTGCTGAGCAGTCTTTTGTATTAGCGCTATAGAATTTACAGAATATTTTTACCAATTAGGATTAGGTTTTAATCATGCTAATAATAGGAAAAAGGAAAAGAGATTATCACTGATGGTAACCTTTCAATATTTTTTCCAGTGGTTCTCTGGGGACAGAAATAATTGCAAGACTTTCTCACAGGTAAATAAGGGTATGTTTCCTAAACACAGCCTCTTATGTTCCTTCACTTTTCAGTTTTCCAATAATATTTCTGTCTGATCCAGCAAAGCAATTGAGATATAAAATATCTCAATGAGAGATTAAAAATACTGAGATATGGATGTACAGAAAGATTCTGGAGTATAATTTAACAGATTACTGCCATAGCAAGGAGAATTATTATTCATTTTGACATGGGGAAATTCACAGAGCCGTGAGCATTTCACTCCATAACATCTTCAGAACTACTTCTGGTACTCACTCGTAAACTAAATTGTAAATTAAATAATATGATTTAGGGGCGGGGGGTGGGGATCTCATCATCAGCATTTTTTTTAATGACCTCCTCTTCCCAAACACTTTCTCCATAAACTCTTATTATTGTGTCCTTCAGTTCTCTGATATAAGTGACTGATTATATAGGCGCAAACAACACAGGGAACATCACATGCATAAACAACAAAATCACTACTTGGACATACATAGGCCTATCGTTTGGAAAAATGCTTAAGTTATGCTTGCTAAATGAATCAGGACCTCGATAGGAATTTTGGAATCTTCTTTGCTAATGATGCACATAATTCAGTTGACCACACCATAAAAATACAATGCAAACCTGTTAAAAATAATAACAATTTAGCATTGCTATTTATATGCACAGGGAACACTCCTTTAATTTTTTTTTAAATCATCTGAAGGGTGGGGTTCTCTGTCTCTTTGGTTTGCAACTTTTCCCAAGTTGGGTCATTTTAAAGGAGCAGGAACCAGGACCAAGCCGTACTCAAACAGCTCCTTCCATCACAACCTGATATCTTTGCTCATTAGACTTCACGAAGCTAAAGCCCCAGAATGTCTGTGGGTCTGACTGCCGAGTTCCCGAAAGTAAGTCTAAATGCAATACTGCATGATAAACTTATTTTCTGACATGAAAGTTTAATCATAGTGCCTTAAAGGGTACATGGAAGCTCCAACATTGGGTTATACTGTGGGTACGTGTACAGTATGTTGTATAGTGATGGGCTAAGATGATATTTATTTATTACTCCAATTTATATGCCACTCTAATTGTCAGGACTGAAGGAGCTTCAGAATGTTAGTATGTGAAGGGAGGTGTTAGGAAGAATTTGTTCAAGAATTTGTTCAAATTATCTGTGATAATTTTCAATTGGAAGAACACGCCTTTAAAAGACCACCTCTTCAATTCTGTTCTGGGGATGAGGAACCCCTTTTCCTCATCGCCTAGACATATGTATCGGGGTTGTAAAAATCCAGATGACTATTAGATGGTAACAAAGAGTTAGGGATTTTTATAGCTCTTTGAAGCCCTCCATGATCCTCTGGATTTTTGCAGCATAAATATCCTATGTCCATTATTGCAGAAAAGATGACATGGTCTGTCTCCACCTGGTTAATTTCAGGGCTGCACAGACACAGACACCATCCTCTATTTCTGTCCATTGCTACTAACTAGTGTTTGAAATGTACTGGGTATTTCCACAGACACATGAAACTGGATTTACATGTACAGGGGTCTTCTCTGAATAGCAAAAAAATGGAAATCCTATCTGAAGCTTAGGAAATGGAAACTAATTTGAAGAAAACTTCTAGCTATGCTTTCTAATGCACAATAAATTAAAACTATGTTGTTAGTTTAAAACCTATTTGTGTAAGTCTGGTACAACAGTTTCAGCAGGTCCATAAATACAGAACAAAGTAATATATATAATATTTATATGCAAGTTGTTAAAGATGTTAAAACTTATCTAGATCAAGCCAGTAACTTTACCAAAATCCATGGGTATCTTTCTGAGACAGACATTTGGAAGGATTCAGAATGATCAGACACTCTGTTCTTATCAGAGCTTTCATATTTTGGGGGATTTCTCTGAGAAATGAAAACAATAAGAACAAGTAGAATGAACAAAGGAAATAATTACAGAGATCCTGGAATAGTTAAAAATATTACCAGACTTAGCTACTGAGCTCTCTAACAAACATTATTTTTTTAGGGAATGTCTTAAACTTTTCATATCTTCATATGGAAGATTTACTTCCTCTTAAAAAATAGAAATAATTTAGCATATTGCTTCTAACGAATGCCAGGGCTAATGTTGAGTTTAACCCTACTGTTTTATAGTGGACTGCACTTAAAGCAATTTATCCAAAAGAAACAAAAGCAAAAAACCAACTTATACCTACAGAAATTGATTTCATATTATACCAACAATTAATAACTATTAATATAAATTCAATATTGTAATAAAATAATATGAACAATCAACCCAGAGTTCTCACTTGAGGCACATATGACTAGCCTCAAATTAACATAGCCTCCTATGGAATAGCTTCCTGGTTGAAATCAGGCTAGCCTTTTCCTTGCTAAAGTTTTGGAAGCTTATAAAGCCCAAGTTGTTCGGAACACCCTTCTCCTAATTTTATCAAGCCATCTGTACAGAGTTGTATAGTTGTATTTATTTTTATTTATTTTTATATTTTATGTAAGCCACTGAGAATCTCTGGATTGTGGTAGGGTAGAAATGTGGTAAATAAGTAAATAAGTAAATCTCTTGAGAAGTCCACAGTGCTGGGAAAGGTGGAAGGAAAGAGGAGGACCAGTACCAGGGTGGATGGGTTTGATTACACTGTAACGGGTGCACCACTGGAAGATTTGAAAGGCCAGGTTGGGGACAGATCATCTTGGAGAAGTTCTATGTCTATGTGGCTGCTGAGA